GCTGTGTCATTTTACAGAATCACTTTTAAAATCCTTTTAAAATTTGATTACTTGAAATAAAAAAAAATGCTTTGGCTTTATCAGATACAATGGTACTTCATTTATCTTATGCTGTGTTTGCATATTTTGTTAAACAGTAAAGCTCACTAATATAATGCAGGAGGGCATTTCTTTTGGCATTTGGTTCAGGCCTTTTAACATGAAGATAACTAGTAATAGTAAGCTAACATTGTACTTTTTGCCTCACCATCCTATCATCATAGCAATTTGTACTGAGTAGTTACAGATTATGAAATAAGTAGTTCATATTGCTTACATTAATAGCTAAATTCTGATTCTACTATCAAAGGCATAAGGAAGCCAAGAAGCAGTAAAACTAATTAAAGTTTCTTTCTCTTCTCAGATTTGTTCTCTGCAGTTTGTATGCTGTAAAATGCTGCCCTGTAAGAGTGTTAGCAACCACACTGTTGACAGGAACAGGAAAATGCAGGGGAAGCAAATTTACAGTGTGTGACTACTAACTAAACCTCCTCCAGATAAATAGGAAACTCCTATCAGATCTTCTTACAGTGTAGAGCCTAGTACTGGACTACAGTACTCAGTACCTATACAGAGATAGGTAGGCTTTCATTATTAATGGCAGTTCAGTTTGACACAACTACTCTTTTCTAAACTAACTTAAAAAACCCCCAACTAATTACTGCTTAGATAAATTCTTGTTCATAGCAATGGTACCCCAGCTTCTGAAACTCAGTATTGCTTGTCACAATCCTACCACTACTATGACAAGTACTTAACAGGTCAGAAAGAAAACATGACAGCCTGTAACTTTCATTACCAGAATGACTACAGAGGTCTCCATACGCTTGGCTCTGTCACACTTAAAGGCTGCTTCAGGCCTAAAAATAACCTGGGGAAGAAACTTCCTGAAAGAAAATAATGTTGCAGTGGAGTGGTAGTACAGAATGATATTTTAAAACACATTTGGGAAAAAATGGCTGATTTATTAAAATAATTGCACCCCAAAACAAAACTGTGAAAGCGCTTCATAATTTTCCAAAGCCATTGGTGCTTCAAGTAGCACATGTGGTTGCTTAGAAACTCCAGTTACTGATGGAATTAACATTAGAGTTCAGTACATAGAATAGTATACAGTGTCAATGGATATAAGGCAGTAAAGACGGTACTGAGTAACTAAATAGCTCCATAATTATTCTATGCCACCCTAATGTACATGTTAAATTTTGTAATGACATTCAAGGGCCAAGCTGTAGATTAACTTTTGTACATGGCTCTCCTTGTTTAATTATCTAATTAATGCTAAATAATGGATCTTTGTTATGTGAGTTAATAGAGACAGCAGAAGAGAAGGAAGAGGTGAGCTGATGCCACTTCTGATATTGTAACTACTCTGAGCAATAGTGTTTCATGGAAT